TTTCTACTTTTTTTAGTACAACATGCTAGAGAAGGGATTCGAACTCACAACCTCTTCGGTGTGTCTCCTACTCCTCTCCTGATACGAGTTATTTCCTAACCCTTTCTTCGTGCTTGTTTCAGGAAGCACTTCGACCACTCTTGGTTGTATATGGATTTTTTTGACAGACGACGAAGAGTGATGATTTACCGACGAAAAGAAGGTTGGAGGTATATGTCAATTACCTGACCCATGTTCGTTTTGGCTTCTTTTCCTACTTTGTTTCTTTCATCTTCTTGACAAAAATTAGTTTCCATAAAAAAAGAAACCTAACATATTAATTATTTATAAAGTTTACAAACTAAATAAGAGTAAGAAAGACACCAAGTATGGAATTATAAAGACCTCATATTGAGTTGGAGATTGACTCAAGTTGAAACAATGCGAAACGGTGCCGTCCGACGTTCTTGCCCCAAATCCCCAAGCTGGAAAGCGACGATCAGAGTCGTAAAACTGAATCACCTCCCCTACTTCCATTATGGCCTGCCATAAGTTCAATATTCTATCATCTCCAACCACAACATTTAAAAATTCACTCACTGAGTTTTAATTTTTACCTCTGTTTTCTATAATATTACCATTCAAATAAAGAAATGAAAATTCAAACCAATAACATACAGAAAGAAAAAGAAGTTACTAATGTCTTGGCTACTCATCGACTTAAATGTACAAGTAAAGAGGATTTTTCTAAAAGATATGCTTAAACACCAACTATTGGAAAACATTGGGATTAGAATTTAATATGAAAATTTTAATTTGCAAGAATGAGAGTGGTGTGGCCAACCTGCTGGTAACTATTCAACCGCCCAGAATGGTCAATGTAATGTAAAGAGTCGGGACTGCGAGGATTTCCATTCGAAGCTGAAACGCAACTTTAGAGGGTCAGTCAACTCATAATAAGTGTATTGGTTGATGCAAAAATTTCCTTTAACTTTTATTTTGCCAAATTTAGCCAATAAAATAGCCAAAATCAAATTACAGATCAGATGCCCAAACTCTGAAAAACCAATACTCAGTCTCTTACTAGCCACAAAAGGGCCGCAAGAGGGCCCGGCGAATATTACAAATATATTTTAAAATAAAAACTTAAACTGAGACTATTAATTTCAAATTAAAATTAAAATATTAAAGTTGAAACTGACTCACTTGGTCCGGTTTGATAATTTATTTTATTTTTCGTTTTCTTTTTATCGAACTTATAAATACTACTTCTACCTATGGGTTCCTTCATTTTGTTATCTACTCTTTTGAAAACCCTTTCAGAATTTAAGTCAAATTTTAAAACTAAAAAAATTAGATTTTAAATTGGACTAAAAGTTCAAATACATTTTTAAGATTTGCGAGAAACATGCCAAAGAAATTGGGAGCAAACAAACGTAATTTTGAAAAACATAAAATAAAAAATGAATGGTTATTGCTGTGACTTTTTTTTCTCTTTCAGGAATTACCTGTAAAATCAACAGCGACCATAAAGTTAAGCTGAAACCCACTAGAAATGTAGTCAAGAAAGCTGAATTGCGTTTTCTCAAGAAAATGATCTACGAATAGCTGACCCTTTAGAACCTACCAAACACAATTACATTATCTTATCGTATCAATATGAAGATGGAGTAACAAAATGGATATCAATTTCTAGAATTGTGAGAGATTACCTTCTCATAGCCACCACGAGAAGAGGATGGAATAAAAAAATTTGCACCACTTTTTTGTCGGTAAAGCTTTTCAAGATCAGCCGTCGATTTCTGGAGCTGACTGATCAGATAGGAACACACAAAAATAAGTGGATACATCTTACCATAATCTTGAAAAAAAAATCACAAAACTAAGTAACTTTTTTCACCCATAAATGAACCAACATTCTGGAAAAATAAAGAAATGGGCTAGAGATTGATGAACAGAAAATAATTACCCAATTAATACATGACTGCCATTGCTATTGAAATCAAAGCACTCAATGACCAAGGGGTTATCCTGTATCAAAGAGAACGCATTAGAATCCTATAAAGTGTTGTAAATGATAAAGAGATTGAGCTTCAGAAGTTCATATGCTTGCCTTGCTTCCAAACTTCTGCATGCTCAGGCATAAAGGTCTCCAAACAGGATTAAGATTGTCCTTAACCACCTCAGTTTTACAGATTGGAATTGAGCCTCCAATTTCAACAACTCTAGATATTCTCAAGAAAGGATCCTAACATATACAAAAAACACCGGAATCAAGGCGCCTTAAATGGAGCCAATATAGTGAAACAAGTGGTTTTAATTATTTAAGCACATCTTAAATTTACATTTACTAGTCAAAAGTGCCTTTTAAAATGTTAGAAAAAACTCAACTGTTTATCTTGAACTTGGTTAGTCTAGTCATGTTGGATGCTTTTAATCTAGGTTCGGGCATTTTATCATTGATTATAGACATTTTGTTGCCTACATGATCTTGTGGCTAAGTTTGGATATCGGGGTTTTGGACACTTTTTTGCCTACTTGATTTTGTGGCTACTTTAAACTACTTCTAAACAGGTGCTTAATCACCGTCTCTTTTAAGTATGCATCATTCTCAAAAGTCATTTCAAACTCACTTAAAGTAAATAACTCAATAAAATGGAAAAAGCAACTTCAAAAACATACGCTTTTAGAAAACAAGTCTTTATTGTTGAGCTGAGAACACCGGAGTGCTAAATCAATGACGCTTTTCGATGCAACTGTTTCCTCTGCTCGAACAGTAAGAGACCCTAAATTATTTCTTGGACCTCCACGCCCATCTTGGAGACGCAAAGTTAAACTTCGACTCTGTCTGGTAAGTATCTGCCATTCCAAACCCAAAAGAGGTGCACAAAACATAATGTATGACAAATTACTTTTAAAAGCAACTTCCAATCCAAACAGCCCCTAAAGCTTACCTCTGAAAGAACACAACTAGCTTCTCCTAGAAAATCTTGGTCACTCAAGTTTAGGGTCTGCAAGACAGTATAAGAAAGTTTTAGGCCAGGAATTATGAACATGGTAATGATATGAAAAGACGATGAAATAAATAATGTATACCTTCACAGGGACATTGTAATATTTGGTATCAACATCATATACACGAAATCTGGAGCAAAAACATAAAGAAAAAGTTAAAAGGACGTGTTTAAAAATAATTTTTGTGACTTTAAAAAGAAGAAATTGTGTGGCAAATACTCTTTTTGACCACATAGTTTAGCTCTATTTTTTCTTTTAAGTTTCAAAATCCCAAAATTTAACCATTTTCAAAGTGCTTCAAGATAATCTTTTTTGTTAGTTTTTTTTATCTACACTACTAGAAAAAGAGGGAGAGACTATTTTGGTATGAAAAATCTCAAGATTTGAATAGTAAGATTCTCAAATTTTAAAACCTCACTGTTTTATTTCCTGTTTTGTTGGATTTACAATTCATATACGAGCAATAATTAACTTTGAGTATGACTTGATTCAAATATGTTATACTTTTAAATTAATATGAAGAATAAATAAATAAAAACACAAACAAAAACAAAAACAAAATTTTTAACCATTTTAAATTTTAAAAAATTAAAATAAATACATCCAAAAAGCTCCTTTTAACTTTAAGTCGCACCAAATCATATCAACATGTGTAAAGCTGTCATGAGAGAACATGGGGAAAAGCTTACACCAATGTCTGCACAGTCTCAAAATGGAATGCAACTGATACTTTCTCTATCCACTGTGGATTTAGGTTATTCAAAATTACTTCAGTCCTACCTATCTCTTGTAGTACTCCATTCTTTTTTATGTACACAACCACCATTGGATCACTCTGAAAAAGGAACAATGCCAATTTGCTATGAAACAGTGAAAGAATTGACCAAGTTAATAGTTTAAACGTTTTGGGGTTAATTTGTTTGTTGAACGTTCAAGATACAAAAAAAAATCCACAAAAATTTTAGATGTGACTCCTTAAGATAATAGAAAGTTCTGCTCATAAGAAAAGAAAATACTTAAATAACGATATTGTTTTAGGAGTGGAAACTCATATATACTAATGTATGCTACGATGGAGAAATTGTACCTTTGAGGTAATGTCACAATCCAACAAGTTTGATGCTGACAAAGATAGCTGCACATTTAAAATTCAATAACTATGAGAAAACCAACAAACCAAAAAACACACAATCTAACATCACCAAAAATATATATTAAAAAATAATTTAAAAAGTTTTTTAAAAAATTTGTTCGTAAAATAATTGTTTTATTCTTGTATTTTCATTTATTTTTTTTAACTTCCCTTTCTTTCTGTTTTTTCTTTTTTATCTTTGACCAAATAACTAAAACTTTAGTCATTTGGCCCCTCTCTTCTTCTTTCTCTCTTTTTTTTTTAAGAAAAGAAATGGCCCCTCTTTACTAGTTTTTAATTTCAGGAACTGTTTTTCAAATTATCTTATCAAATTCTACATAAAAATATTTTTTTCATTTTAAAAATTATTTTAAAACACTACTTCAAAGTTAAAAGTGCTATAGGAAGGCCCACGCTGGACCCACATAATTCTAAAATGGACAGAGTTTGCTCTTTCTATATTGTTGGGCCCTCCATAGAATCATAATTCATCAGTATGGTCAGTCAAAGATTCAGTCAAAAATATAAGTAATAGGTATCTACCATTTTAATAACACTAATTATTATATGTGAGCAACCAAATAAGCATAACTCAATATAATTGATATCTCTATTGATATCTCCCATTATTGATATCTCCAATTAAGAAGATGGTACTAAAAAAAAATTATTATATTCGAGGATGGTTGCTCGAGAAGTATTATAATAAAAATAAAATATATAAAAGTAGTAAATAAAAAAAGTTACATAAATATAATAAAAAGATTGTGTAAGTTTGTAACTCATTATCTCTTAGTCATTTAAATAGGATATTTAAATCAATTGTTCAATTGGTTAAGGTATTATACAATTTTTTCCTAAAGGTATTTATTATAATGCATTTCTTAAAAGTTTAGTAAAATGAATTTATTAACATTATTTCCTATTATTTAAACAAAAATGCAAGTATTAGATATTATTATATATATGATTATAATTTTTTTTATTTCATGTATGGATAAAATATGTTAACTTAAAATTTAAGTTCCAAAATGTATATTTTAACTTAGCTTAGAAGATGTCATTAATTTTTTAATTAATATTAATAACTTGAACAAAAGTTTGGATCAACAAGTAGATATTATCTCATGAGATAAATTTTTGAAAAAAATGCATGATACCTATACATTAGATTTAGTCAAATAATTAATTGAAAGTTACAAATGAATAAATATTTTTTATATAAAGTTTAGATATTAAAATTTAACAATTAAAATACAATAAATTAGAAAAATTCAAAGATGAAATAGGTTTAAGTTTTTTTTTTTTGTCATTTCTACTTTTTTTTTTAATTTACTTCAGATATTTTCTACTCTTTTGTATTTTACTATTTTGCCCTCTACATTTTTAAATCATTAAAATTTACGACTAAAAAAACATTTTTAAATCATTTGTTTGTTTTTTTTCAAAGCTTATTGATTTATGTTACAAATTATCTTTACAAAAATCAATCGATTTTTTATGCTCGACTAGTCATAGATCCCCAACCAACACATAATCCTCACCGCCACATATTCTACTACAAATAATATATAATACTTTTTACATAATATTTAAAATTTTAATATATATATATATATTATTTTTTATTTTTGAGATGGGAAATAAATTAATCATAAAAATTAGAGAGAATAAGATTTAAGCCTAAAAAATATTGAGAACAGAACAACATAAAATATTTGCGGGGCCGCAGCGAAAGAATATACCTCAACTTGAGTAAACAAACCCTGAAGACCATGGGATCGGAAGAAGAAATCAACGGCATCGTTGTGGCCAGCGCCACTGCAGTCCGTCGCGACGTTACCGGCGCTCCGCCGGCCTCCTCCCACCGCCTGCCTTCCTCCTTTCACATCAGAATGACAACCGCCCATCCTCTTCTTCTCACTCGCAATGGAAACAGCAATCAAACTTCAATCGAGAGATGGAGAATCACAATCGCTTCGCCTCCCCCTCTCGTTCGCGATTCCGTCGAAAAAGCCTCAGGAACTCAATAAAAACTCCAAAAGAAACCCCTCTGTCCCGTCACTCGCAATCGCAAACAACAATCAATCTTCAAGAAACAGATGGAGAATCACAATCGCTTCGCCTCCATCTCTTGATCGTGATTCCGTCAAAGAATCTCACAGAAAACTCACCAAGAACTCCAAATACCCCCTCTCTCTAGTCACTCGCAACCGCAACCACAATCAAACTTCAATCACCAGATGGAGAATCACAATCGCTTCGTCTCCCCCCTCCCGCTCGTGATTCAACACAGAAACACACTAAGAACTCCAAAAAGCCCTCACTCTCGGTCGTCGTCACTCCCAACCGCAACAGGAATCCAAAAATCAAAGTAGAAACAATGGCGTCGGTTCCTCCCTGTCTGTGATTTCTTCGAAGAATCCCTCAGAAACTTACAAATTAAATCCTCTTCCTCTTCTGCATCGCACTGATTAAAGCGCGTTCGATTCTCAGTATCAGCGATCGTATTAATTTCCACTTATAGTTCGACAGGTCGCAGCGCCTGCCCCTTGGATTAATGCAAAAAAATGGCGTGTTCTGATTTCTCTTTACTGTGCTTTCGCGCGGGTGTATTTTATAGCTTTAACTTAACAATGGAGCCAAGGATTATTTATGCCGAGAAATTTCAGCCAAATTTCCTTTAAATATGCGAGGAAATGAAACCTCTTGAAACGACAAATGTTTTTCCTTTCAAATATGGATGTCAAGTCAACGTCAATTATAACATTGTACCACGTCTTGCACGCTAGACACGTACACGATTGAAATGGAAATTTTATTCGTGGTGTACAGAATTTGTTTCTTATTTGAATCAGAATTTCTTTGATATTATTTATTAAAACTACCTAACTAATTAAAAATGTATATTGTGCTCATCTTTTTTTAATTACAATAATTTATTTTATTTTATTATATTATTGATACTAAATATTTTTATTATAACAAAATATTTAATATATAATAAATAATGAATAATTAAATAAAATTACATCAATTACAATACTTTTTTTATCATAACCATTGTCATTTAATATAAAATTTTATCATCATTTTTTGTCTAGTTTATTTAACTTAAGAGACTCAATAATGATAATATGAATAACATTTGTCTAAATTGTTACTTGGATTTACAATTATAAAGAGTAGTTCCATTATGGATCTTCCGCGATTGTTCCTACCTATTTTTTTATATGGCTCTAAATTTGAGCGGACATCATGATTTGAACATATATATTAACTAACTGTCAAATGAACTAAGAACCTATTTAGAACATCTTTCCAGACTTTATATATTAAAGTACTTCTAAGATCAAATAGACATCCTAAGGTCTCAAATATAAAGTGCACTTGCTCTATTTAGTTTAATTATATTGTGAGTCTTAATTTTCAAAGGTATAAAAAATGGACAATGTATATGGAAGAATATAACAATATTCATCCAAATATATATATATATATATATATATATATATATATATATATATATATAATAACATTATCTTATTAATGAAGTTCATATTTAGAAAAAAAAAACATCATCTTATAAGTGCAGTGGCTTTGGGTTTATCTTTCATTAAGATTATCTTTAGGACAATGATCTACCTGGAAAGGCAAACTTTAAACTTGTCAAAGTTATATATATTATGGGCACAATGTTGATTTTATTGAAAAGTCAATGTTTTAGTAGATAGAATCTTATTTCAAAGTAATAATAAACTATATAATAACTAAAATAATGCTATGTTAATTTTAAGTTGGTTAATTGACTTAGTCTTAAATACAAAATAAAGATAAATATTATGAAGCAAAAGAGCACATAAATTAAATGATATCGCAATTGGAATAAGATTGATCATTAGATGGAGAGTATGGAAAAGCATAGTTAAAGAAATTCTTAAAAAGCAATTGATGTATAATTATTTTTACCTATACAAAAATAATATACATCTTTCTTCTTGGTCGCTCGTTCAAAAGAAATCCATAATTAAATGTGTTTTGTTTATAGCAATTTAGAGCTCGTTTAGGTAACATTTATGTTTCTTTATTTTTTAATAAAGAGACATGAATTGCATTGTCCCAACATCGATGATGAATTTAAGTATGATCAAATCATCTTTTTATCTATGTTTTAGAACAAATAGGGAATGTAAATATAAAAAAATAAACTTGTTTTTGCTATTCGTAAAATTTCTATACAATTTTGATTTTGAGAATGTTCCCAAAAAATTAAGAAAAAAGAAACATAATTAGTTGCAGATTAAAATACTTAATTTTTTTAAAAAGATTAAAAAACGAGAAACAACAAACATGAACAAATCCTTGGGTATCTAATCTCCACCGCACTACCGTTTTAAAAAAATTCCCATTGGCGACTCATACAAATTTATTTAGTTTTTTTTTTAGTAAAAATGGACTAAGAGAAAGTGAAAACATGTAAAAGTTTTATTGGATAACCAATACTAATTAATTCCTCTATAATAGTTTTATAATATTCGTAAATTTATAGCGGGTATTTGACACAAATAATTAGAGCAATTACCAATTAACATTTTTCTTCTATCGTTATAAGTACTTTTCTAATTTTATTATTTACCATCCTTAAATTCTAATAATGCTATATTTTTTAGTTAGTTTTGTAGTAAAAGAAAAGGAAAATTAAAATCAATAGCTACTCTGAGCATAATTAATGCACATTTTACCATTTCAAATATCAATGGTTCAATTTCTCACTCTGACAATGGTTGAATAAAAGAAATGATTATTTTTAAAAGTACAAAAAGAGAAGTTTAACTACCTTTAATAAAACTAACATAGCATGGTAATTGACATATATCTTCAATTAATATGTTGTGAATTCGATCCCTCACTTCCACCTATTGCACTAAAAAAAACTACCTCTAAGTTTTGCAAAAACGAAATGCTTGGAATTTTGAGTCACATCATCATGTGATTTGTAACGGTGTGACATATGTCATGAGGCCCATGTCATACATCATCATCACATGGACATACATGGTGGAATTTTTCTTTGGTCATCAACTTTTTTTTTTCCTTGGCCAAAGTTTGGTCATCCATATTTTCATAGGTAACTTACAAAGATGACTTCCATCTAATATTGTGGAAAATTAAAGTTTGGAGAAATGTTTTGGTACACATCAAAATAAAATATTGTTGGAAAATGGGAATGGATAATGGAGTTGATCAAATCAAAATGAAGAGGTCAATGTAGTATCATTCGGCAAAACAAATATAGAGAAAAAGTTTATAAAATAAAAGTATATATATTAGAAGTGAGTTTTTAAAGTACTTAGAGCTTGTTTAGGAATTTTTAATGTTGCTCAGGGGAATTGGCGCCTTAGACCAACTCGGCCATCTCAAACGTTATATTATAATTTAGTAAAATAAAAAATAAAAAAATGCTTTGCATCATAAAAATCTGGTCAGTTTTTTCTTGGAGACTAACGGTTAGGCTGATGGACCTTTAAATTTATTTGTCAAGGTAAAATTACTTTTAAAAACTTTATTATAAGTAAAAACTCATAAGCAAAATAGAATTTTGTCCTTTCGGACCAGAACCTTAATCTGGCGCTTTAGACCAACTCGGCCATCTCAACATGATGGTATATTAAAAAAGTACATTATTAATATATACTATTACAATTATCCTTGGAGCTTAAAGAAAAATTTGAATAATTGAAACATATATACATTGACGATATTATGATTATTATTATTATTATTTAAAAAATATACATATAAAATTTTATTCGATCTTGGGACATAATTTTATCTTCAATTTTGGGGCACACACATTGACGATATTATCAAATCAAATCGTTATATTTGAAAGTTTACAATTAAATTCTTAAACTTTTTGAGTTTTTTTTTTTAATTCACACATTAATTTTACCTTTGTATTTTATTTGTTACGTTAACTCCATTTTAGTTCAAATATGTTTTTTAAGAGATAAATCATCATTTTTATTTTTCTAAACAAACGAAAACAAAAAAAACCTGAAATTTAATTTTATGTAGTATTTGTCATTGACATCATTAACTAATTTTAAGCATCTTAAGTTACCAACAAATCCAAAAACTTAAGCGGGTATTATTTTGGATGAAATTTATTCGTTGAGATGATATTTTATTATATTTAATAATTTCATTCTCCGTTCCATTAACAAGGTGACTCATATTATAACCACTTGAACTTTATCTTATTTATTTACTAGATTGAATAAAGTCACCCAATTTTTATTTTTTTTTCTTTTTGTTTGCTTTTAAGAATACATCATGTAATTGTAATGAAAAAATCAAATATTCAACATAAATAATATTTTTGGAGGCTTTATCATCATCCAATACTAGTCAATCATGTGACAAGGTTTATCGTGTTAAATTTATAAAACAAAAACAACTACTTTATAATTGAGTTAGGTTTAGATTGATTTCTCGTCACTCCACACGTTTGTAATTCTACCACTCACGAACTAGCATGACATTCGCAAATATGGTCAAAAGAACATCCACCATGGGTGAATGACACTATCGCCAAACATGAATTTTTTTATTTAATTTTATTTTGTAATGCTTTTTTTTTTGGTACTAAAAAAAATTCACATTATTGGTCGATGGTTTACAAAAAATTATATATTTTTATCGTTTAGAACATTATATCACAAGGAAATGATTTCAATTTTACAAAAGTACACAACATATTACTACTTATATTAAGCGAGACTCTCAAAAAAAAAAAAAGAAAAAAGAGAAAAAAAAAAGAAAAAGAAAAACTACTTATATTGAGCGAGTTCAAAAAACCAACAAATTCTGTACTCTAAAAATAAGCAAAACTTTCCAGCGATAAACATAGACTCCAACTTCTGTGGAAAAATTTCAAACCAAACTGAGAAACTATGGCATTTGGCTTTGCGCCTTCTGCGCTCCCCATGCGAAATAAAGGGACAGCTTCTCTCTCTCTATGCTGGTGCTACATTTTCTCCTCCATTTATATAATTTGTATTCATTCAGGTTCTTTCTCTAGAACCGAGCGCCTTTCTAGTGTCGATTTTCTCCCGGAACTTATCGGTATCCGGGGAAATCCACGCCATTCCCGACAACCCATTTCGTAGTTTGGGGGGCCGACATTGAATTTGGTCTCTATTAGCCACAATCACCTGCTCTGATGGTGCGTTGATCGGTCAGAAGAGGTTGTTCGTGGTTGGCCATGGCAATTGCCTGTGCTTCTATGCTTGACCCATGATTATGGGTTTAGAAAGTGGTTCCGGTTTCAGGTTTAGTTCCCATGGGGATTTGTGCGAGCACTGAGGGGGGGCGGCGACGGAGGTCTACTGTTAGAAGCAATTCAGGTAATGGTACGTTCCTTCTGAGATTTCATTTCATTTGGTTGTGTCTATACATTTTGATTCTTTCGTCAAAAGGTTTTTAATATGAACTTTGGAAGTGTCATAGTTTGATATGGATTATTTAAAGGCCATCGATTATTTGGTTATATTGATTGCACAAACGAGAGTCTGTAGTTGCTATCTGTTTCAACATTTTCATGATGAAATATTCACCTACAGAGGAAAATGGTTAGCCAAAAGCCAAGACCAATGTGATTGGACCTAATCAAATATTGTAAATTTCTTGGTATTATGGGTTATGAAAACAAGAGGATGTTATAAACATCAACGTGACCAAAGCTCTTAGCGCTTCACTGAAATGGATCCTATTTGGATTGAGTTGATGTCACAATTATTATACAAAAATTCCTCTACTGCCTTTGAATCTTAATACCCAATGACGGTGGTCATCACAGCAATGCAAAGCATGCTTCTCTTCCTTATAATGGAGCTGCCCAAAGTGTAGAAGTGAATTCATATATAGCATATGACAGATGCCTAAAACATATCATTTTTTCTTTCTAAAAGCTAGGACATTAGACATGACAAAGTTGAAGACACGTTATGAAAAAATATATACACATACATACTTGAATAGATTTTTATATGTTTTATACATCTTAATGGTTTTATGCTTGAAACATTTTTGGGTTATGATTGTTGAAATTATTACTCATCAAAAGAACTAGTTGAAATGCATGCCACAGGAAATTGTAGAGCTAATTAGATAGTTTTAGTGATGTAACATCTTATGGGTGTAAGTGGGTCGATTCAACTCAAATTTTGGCCAAAATTGACATGTTGGATTAAAAGAAGTACAAAATATCTTAAAGTCAACTAAAAAAAAAAAACAACCAATTGAATCAAGTGTTTGAAAAATGTCTTAATGTTTAATATTATGTCTATATTAGTAATATTTTATTGATATTTTTTTTTGTTGATTTTTTTGCAATAATATGTAAATGTCGATTTACCACTTGTCTTGATGTCGAACTCATGGGCACATGGAAATGTTGATGAAAATGTTGACATATCGATAAAGTTTAATACCCTTACTAAAACTAACCAAACAGAATTATTTTTTATTTTGAAATGACATTAAACCAAATCCACAGACAATAAAAAACCAAATTGACTAAACTAACTAGGTCTAGTTGGTTTCCTCGCTTTCTCCATCATATATTTCGGTGATATTGATTTATAAAGAAGTCCAAAACCATATAAACATATTTTTGAAATAATGAGTACCATGTAGAAATTAGTTTAAAAAAATCAAATATGTTTGGTTTAAGCGCATACTTCTACTAATCTCACGGGACAACCAGCTGATCCTACAAAACTTAGTTGTCAAGAAACTTGTAGGATTTTAATATTTTAGATAGATGACCACCATGAGGTTTGAATCAATTCTCTGGAAGTTACTTTATTTGTTCATGTAGCACTAATGACTATTAGGCTGACCTATGGTTGTCAGGTTTGAGTTATTTTTTCTTAGTATTTTTTTTGCTATGTCTTTCGATCAACCTAGGGTGGTTAGGTTTAAGCATTTATCATTGGATCAAGAATTTAGGAAACTTCTTTGATTTGATTACATGCACACGTCAGAGCAGGAGAAGGTAAAGCTTGTTACTCTTATGTTAGCCGGCGGCGCCTTGGCGTGGTGGGAACAATTACAAAATAATAGAAATGGGAGAAGATATGGGAAACCACATTCAGGGAGGGTGGTCTAGTAATGTTTATTCACGAAAGGCTAGATTCCCTGTTGGCACTTACAACAAGCTTAAAAATAAGAAGGTCATGATAGGAGGTACTGGAGAGGGGTAATATAGTAATCAACAAAGTAGTTTGTTGGAGACTGTTTGTTTGTTATACTTATAAATAAGAAGGACAAAGCATTGAGAAGATAATCAATTGTTTAATGTAGTTTAGCCTTGAGTGATCTCTCAAGAGAGGGAGGGTCCAAGTACCTCGTATTATTTGAAGATTATTGTAATTCTTCTACTTTTATCTTTCAATATATTTCAACTATTTGGTTTCTATCAGATTGTCCTGGCCAAAATCATACAAAAGATAGGGGACAACGCTTATAGAGTGGAGTTACCCAGGGATCTCCAAGTCAACCCCACATTTAATGTTGTTGAATTGTTTGAATACCAAATCCAGGACAACTTTCATTTGACAGCATAACTCGAGGACAAGTTTTTTTCAGAGAGGAAATTTGATGTAGGGACATATGTAAAATTGGGATCTACTTGTTAATGGGCTAAACTAGCTGTTAGGGTAAAGCTGTTGCCTGTTGGAATAAAGGGCCAGCTATTTGGGTTGTTGGGTAAGTAGCCATTGTCTTTAGTTTTGTTAGGAAATAGCCGTTGGTTTAGGAAGTTAGTTAAATCCTTGATTGGTCACTCTTCTAGTATAAATATTAGTGGTTTAGAATTTAGTTTGTAAAACAAGTTTTTTAACCCATCATAAAATTTTCTTCTCTCTTGAGTTGGATCATAAAAAGCTTCATTTCTCTTTGAAAAATTTATTTTCGTTACTGGTTTTTTGGCTCACAATGTTTTTTCATAAATATTATTAGAGATGGACAATGAATCTCCTTGTAGAGATGGACATGGAAGCCCAAGTGGATTTTCTATGGTTAATAAGCATATTGATGTTCTCCGTGGAACCCCTGCTTATAGCGACGTTGATATTTTTTCATTTGAGGAGATGAAGTTGGCCACAAAGAACTTTCGGCCGGATCTAATTCTAGGAGAGGGTGGTTTTGGAGTTGTATACAAGGGAGTCATTGATGAAAATGTAAGACCAGGTTTTGAGATAATGCAGGTTGCCATTAAGGAGCTTAACCGCGAAGGTTTCCAAGGTGATAGGGAATGGCTGGTATGCTTCTTTTCTGCTAACCTGTATATTTTCTTGAACTTGAATAGCGTAGAATGGTCTTAATGGTGTTACGTTACGTCGATGACAATTTTTTTGTTACAAAAGCAAAAGATCTTCGTTAGAAGTTTTAACAATGCACAAAAAAAGCACGTACGGTTTTGATTGTTGGCAATTCATTTGCAGAAGTATGATTATGAAACTATCGTTTCAGGCTAATTTTTCAAAGGTTCTATTTTTGAATCTAGTAAGTCAACTGATGGTTTTTTAACAAAATGTTTGCTCTATCACTTCAAGTTTGTATGCATACAATCTCAAACAAGGATAAGTTCTGAATTTTCCGAGTTACTTTCAAACAACAAAGTACATGCAAATGCACATCACTTGTAAAAATTAAGTTAAGGTCCCATCTTATAACAACTTTTTTCCTTATTTTTTTTGGTTTTTAGAAGTAAGCCTAGTTTAAAAATTTCTTTGTTTTCTAATCTACTTTTTTAAGACTTCTTTTTACCAAATTTACAAACTAAAAAACGTAGTTTTGCAATAATCTGTTTTTATCTTTTTGTTTTCCAATTTGGCTAAGATTTCTAAAGTGTTTTAGAAAGTGAAAAACAAAACAAAAAGATTATTAGTAAGCAAGTTTAATTATAAAAAATTGAAAATAGAAAAATAGAGATGAAATGTTATCAAGGAAAGCTTAACTTAATATTTTACTCGCTTCTATGAATGGAAGAAATATATTTTAAGTAGGGTGAATGGGCCTCTGTTCCATCTGGATTGTGCAAGTATCTGTTCACTAACAATTCCTGGGAATATTGTAGAAATCATATTAGAGTATTGGCATATGTGGACTTTTCTACTTTGAATATTAACTATCAAATCAGTTAATTAAGGGGGATAACAAAAATGATGCTCCTACCTCTTTGTGAAGTAATAGTGGGATTTTTGTGTGTTCCATTATTATTTTGGATAAAAATAATTATGATTATATTCAAGAGAAGAAATTTTGATAAATGACCCAATCAGAATGAATGTTTCACATAGAAAAGACTACCAAAAGTCTCCATCATATAAGTATAATCCTCAAATTGTTAACAGTCCTAGAATGTCTGAAATTGTAGTTGAGGCCAATGAGAAGCTACAAGACGAGCATCATTCTGGGTGTTTAAACATCTGAGACGTAAACCTCAACTTAACATAAAAACAGCTGAGGCCTCTATAACCCTAAAATTTTCCTTTCCTTTCAACATGACAACTTGTTGACAATGTGGGATCTCATTATCAAAATTTATAAATAATTTCCAATTTTCTTTTCTCCCTGTAATTTTTTTTATTTGATCCATAATATGCGAGCTAGTTTAACCATATCCCGGAATGATTTACTGATTCGGGAATAATTGATCATTTTTAGAAATAAGAATATTTAAGAGGGGCTCTTCATGACTTTTTGTTAACCCATGTAATACAGGCAGAAGTTAACTATCTTGGGCATCTTAGTCACCCTAATCTTGTGAAGCTAATTGGTTATTGCTGTGAGGATGAGCACAGGATGTTGGTATATGAGTATATGGCATGTGGGAGCCTGGAGAAACATCTTTTCCGCAGTAAGTTTGATTAATGAATGAAATTAAGACTAACTTTTACTAATCATTATAATTCTGGATATTTTAAGTGCTATAATATTTATCACTAATGTTACTGTGTAGAGCAAGAATTGGTGCGAGTTTGGTAATAATTTAGCCTCTTGTATCCACTACGTGATTTTGTACTTTGCTAGTTATTATTTTTTATTTTCCAATATGATAAGAAGCTTTCTGAGTAGATTTCAATGCATTTGTCAATGACCAAATGCCGGAACAACTAGTTGGTTCTTGCCACTGGAACCCTACTGCTCTCTATTAGGAACTCATTACCAAAGTTGAAGTGTTATTCAATCAAAGGACCTATAAAATAGATGTGCTCCCATTCACTAATATTGTCAAGAATGAAAAAAAACTTCTGAAATTTTATGAATGCTCACGATTAGCTAAAGGCTGATGCTGTAGGTTTATGTGAGGAATGCTAGCCAAGTGAATAGTCTATGTGCATGTTAGAGAGGATTTCCCGCCAGGGTGAGTGGGAATTTGCTCATTAGTATGCAATAAATTATTAAGTGATTATTTTCAATGAAAAAACATTATGTAAATAGCTTGAACATATATGAAACTCTTCAATAACCATGTACTATTATTGCTGGAGTGTGCTGATATTAAAATTGGTGCAGCGGTCCCTTGAAATATTACATTAATGGAGTAGAAAACCAATCTGGTTTCCTGCAAAAGTTGATAGTTGTAAATGACTTGATGCCTAAAGGGAACATTTTTTATGGAGAAAGTTGTCGAGGGGTTCTTTTGTTGTTTTTCTTTTCTTTTTCAAAGATTAAGCATTTCATTAAACCAAGTGGAATATGAAATATTTTTCAAATACACAAAAGTCAAGAATATTACAAAAAAGGGTTCTCCCATTGACATAAATCAAAAAGAAAGAATAATTATGGAAAGTGTTTTGGAGTATTAGTAGGGAAATTGTGAGAATATTATTACAAATATAATAGTGCCATATTTGTAATTACTTAGAAGTTGGTTTGTGTTCAAAGTTGTAAATAGAGGGAGTTAGAAGATTTGGGGTAGAAAGTTTCTGGAAAAAAGTTCATGGGAGAGTCCAGGCCTCTTGAAGTGCTTGTGAAACTTGCAATTGTCTTCTTTATTTTTTTAAGTTTGCCGACCGCCTGACCCTACTACATTTGGTTGACAAGGAAACTCGGAGGATATTAAATCCTAGGTAGGTGGCCATCATGGTTTGAACCCATTCCTTCCAAGTCCTTTACTATTTACATTGGCCCTCATTGACCACTTGGGCCATCCCATAATGGTTGCAATTGTCTTCTTTATATCAGTACTATATTATTAATTTCAATTTCAATTCCTGATTACTATTAGATTTCCATAAGTTGTCATCCTTAGAAGTGGTTAGAGGGCCTTCTCTTATTCTACTTTGTTCAAGTTCTCGGATAATCAATTGGGCTAGATGACCCAGGGTTAGAAGGAGTTAGGCATTTTGGAAAGGAGCTAGGAAGACTTTATGAACTATGTGAACCTCGATGTGGTTGAGGATTTTAATGTTCCTAGATTTCCTCTTGAAAGGTTGAGTGCTTGTAATTTTTTTTGACATGTCATGGTGTTTAACAAGTTCTTTGAGGATTGTAACATGATGGACTGTCCCATTGTGAATGGTAGGTTTACTTGGTCCAATTTGAGAGAGAGAATCCTGTGCAGTAGACTTGATAGTTCTTTTAAAGGTTGGGTTCCTGAATTTAAAAAGGCTCATTAATTTCTAGGTCCTAGGGTTACCTTTGACCACTTCGTGGTTTGCCTAAATCTAGCTCTTGTCTCATGGGTACATGTTCATTTAAGTTCGAGAATAGATGGCCATCTCATCATATTTTTAAATTCCCATTTTCTTTCTAGTGGGGTGTTAGAGCTTAGGGTAAGTGGGAAGGCTTTTACTTCACATGGAAGTAAGGGAACCCTCACAACAGTAATAAGAATAATCCTGATAACTGGATGATGAACCAATCTCAAGAAAGTTAAATAGATTTTTACTTGGAAAAATGATCAATGATCAAGAAAAAAGGAGAACTTGTTATTTTTAAGATTTCGAACTCTCCACAACCTAATTGATCAAACTAGATTGAAAATTCTAAAACATGCATTTTTTTTATAATGGGAAGTCGGATCTTTGCTCAAGTGCCCCAAGACTCGGATTTGGGAGACATCAAATATTTTTTGTTCTAAAACATGCATTCTAAACACAAGAATACAAAGAAAGCATAAAGTTTGAGAGAGATTAAACTCAAATCTGAAATTTCATTGATCAAATATTGTTTTTGTTCAATAGCAAAATTTACAATCGTGTTTATAGTAATTGAAAAGACATAAAGAAAAGACAACTTTTGCCAAACTAGTCTAAATTTAGCCAACACACTTTCAAATCCATACATGAACCGTCTTAAATGCAAATACATGAATTTAAAAGGTACGTAATGCATTACAGATGAAAATAAATTTGGATTTTAGATTCATGAATTTTTTGGATGAATTGGTGCTTTATCAAGCTTTAATGGATGCAACTCTTCACCAAGTATGAACACCTTAGTTGAAAAGTGATCATTCACTGCTTCTTGAAGTCGTTTAGCTTTAGTTATTGTGATTGGACCTTGTGACAAAACGATTGACTCATCATTAGTTTGAATTTGCATTGATCCTATTGAATTTGAGCATAATTTTATTTTGAGCTAATTTTAGATGGTTCATCTTGTAAACTACCTTTGTGCTCCATGTGATCACTCATTTTCTTATCATTAAGCTCATGCTAAAGGAGTGAGGATAGGAATATGTTTGGAGATCTTAAGATTAAGCAACATAAAATTTTGTATAGGATTAAAGTGTTGGATGTTTGGATGAGTCTAGCCGTCTTAGTGATGATCCAAGGTACGAGTGAATCAGGTTAGAAGGAGACTCTGAGGACCTTATCCACAGGGAGGATGTGTGTTGGAAACAAAAAGCTGAAGTGAAAGTGGGCAAAGGAGGGTGATTGTAATACATGCTTCTTTTTCGGAATTGCTAGCTCTAGAGAATGTGTGTTGGAAACAAAAAGCTAAAGTGAAAGTGGGCAAAGGAGGGTGATTGTAATGCGTGCTTCTTTTTCGAAATTGCTAGCTCTGGAGAATGTGTGTTGGAAACAAAAAGCTAAAGTGAAAGTGGGCAAAGGAGGGTGATTGTAATACATGCTTCTTTCCTGGAATTGCTAGCTCGAGAAAGAACAAGAATGTCATTTCCTATATTCAGAGGGAGAATGGAAAGATAGTGGTAAGGAATAAAGCAATGGAAGAGGAAGTTCTCTCCCTTCTTAAGGCCCTCTACTCTCGCCCGATGTGCCTTAGACCTTTTATTGATAGTTTAGATTGGCACCAATGTTTTCAAGGTGCACCTAGACCATCGTTTATGGTGAGGGGTGAGGCGTTTTGGGTCGGGTGTGCCTTCAATGATGCCTTAGCAAGTGTCTTTAATCGGACACTCACCTTGACGCACCATCGCCATAAGGTGAGATGAGCGGCGAGCGCTTGGTTAGAGGCGGGTGATAACGTCTGCATTTTTTTTTTAATTTTAAATGGTCTTAACTAAAAAAAGACCAACCTCAGAAGAAATAACCCTGAAATTTTAAATGGCCTTAACTTAAAAGTTGGTGCCTTTGAAAGGATTTAGGGTCTAAAAGTCAACTGGAAAAAAATCACCAATCAGTGGTGTTAATTTGTAAGGATCAAAGATGAATCAGTATCCTTCAAAGCTGAAATGTAAGGTAGAATCTCTACCTTTTACTTATCGTTTTTTTTGGATCAGTATCATTCAAAGCTGAAATGTAAGCTGATAAGAGTCATTTTATAGGAGGGTTCAAGTCTCTATTGTATAGGGTTGAAGAGACATTTTATAGGCTAAAGCAAAGAGACAGAAACGGCCTAAGGGTAGGAGGAAGAGGGCTCCCCCTCCCAAGAACTAAAGATTAATAGCTCTCAGTCTTGCATAATCGACGAGAAGCTATAACTACAAAAGAATTTTCTATGCCTTAACACCACCAAGAAGTGTGTAATTGAACTGTATTCCAAAAGGTTTCAAAAGAAGAAGACTTATCCTCAAAGATCCTATTGTTTCTTTCCGGCCAAATATTCCATAAAAGGGCTCTAGCTGCACAATTTCAAAGAATGTTAGCTTTCCTTTTGAAATGCCAACCCCGCAGAGCTTCATACAACCAACCTTCGATATTCTGGGGCAGACAAATGGAGTATCCGAAAATTTGAAGTAGAAAAGACCATCCTCGCTGAGCAAACTGACAATGGAGGAAAATATGATCCATAGTTTCCTCGTTCTGTTTACAAAAAATACAGTGGACATCTTCTCTGAATTATTTCTGCTGTATTCACTTCCCTGTTAGCTAGGGTCCAAAGGAAGACTTTAACTTTCTTTGGGATTGAAAATTTCCAAAGGAGAGGGATAAGAGGCGAGTTCAACAGAGGAGTTTCTCCAACCAGAAATTTTAATCCCGATTTTGTCGTGTAAGCACCTTTTACTTATCTTGGTATGCCTCTGGGAGGAAATCCCAGAGAGAGGCTAAGTTTTTCGCTGAAATACTCAATAGGGTGTTGGTTTTGGGATATGACAACACCAATTCCGATGCCAGATGCATCTACAACGACCTCAAATGGTAGGGTGAAGTCAGGAAGGCGTAAACTGGGTTTTGGGTGAGCTTAGTTTTTAAAGTTTCAAAGCTATCTTGTTGCTTTCGTCCCCAATGAAAATTTCCTTTTCTTACGCAATCAGTTAAAGGTCCAGCTATAGTACTAATATCCTTTATGGATTTTCTATAGAAAGAGAGGCTATTCCTAAGAAACACTGGACTGCTTTGACAGTTTGAGGTTGAGGCCATTCTGATATAGCTTGAACTTTAGAAGGATCCATCTGCACACCAGTATTACTAACAAAAAATCCTAAGAATGATATCTCCTTAGTTAAAAAGATACATTTTTTAAGATTGATGACTAGTTTGTTTTTATGTAGGGTTGTGAACAAAGTATGCAAATGTGTGAGGTGTTCTTCCCGAGTCCTACTATAGATTAAAATATCATCAAAGTAGACAGCAATAAATTTATTTAAGAAGGGAAGCAAAACCTGGTTCATTAACCTCATGAAGGTGCTAGGTGCCAAACCGAATGGCATGACGAGTCATTCAAATAATCCTTCATTTGTTTTGAAAGCCGTTTTCCACTCGTCTCCCGGACGGATTCGTATCTGGTGGTATCCACTTCGAAGGTCGATTTTGGAGAAAACAGCTGCGCCACTGAGCTGATCTAGAAGTTCGCCAATCCGTGGCATAGGAAATCGGTATTTCACTGTAATTTTATTGATAGTTTTGCTATCAACACACATCCTCCACGACCCGTCTTTCTTAGGGGTGAGGAGCGCTGAGACTGCACAAGGGTTCAAACTTGACTGAATATGCCCTTTTTGCAATAATTCAACAATGTGATCATGTAGGATCTTATATTCTGTAGGGCTCATCTTGTAGTGTGGTAAATTGGGGAGTGCAGCTCGAAGTAACAGATCAATACGATGTTGTATATCTCTCAAAGGCAGGATAGAGTCCTGTGGGTTAAGTAGTTTAGGGAATGTATCCAGAAGTTTTTGGACATCCAGATGAACTTCTGGAGTTTGTATTCCTTCTCTAGATGTAAATTCTTTGTTGACCAAGGCTAGAAGTTGCTCGGATCGGTGCAGAAGGAGATGTTTGCCACTGCACACATGAAACAAATGTTCTTTAGCCGTAGTTGTTGCATCTTGTTGATTCTGTAAAGGTAAGAGAACAATTGTTTGCCCCATCCATGAGAATTCGTAGGTATTTTCACGGCCTTTATGCAGAGCTTGAGTATCATATTGCCATGGCCTTCCCAAGAGGATGTGGCACACATCCATAGCAATAACATCACAGGTTGTTTGATCCTTGTAACTAGTTCCAATGGAAAGGGGAACGGTACAGATAGTATTAACCATCACTTCGCCACCCTTTTTGATCCAGCTAACCTCGTAGGGCGACGGATGTGGGGACACTTTCAGGTTTAAGGCTGTTACGAGTTTATTGGAAACCACGTTTTCTATACTGCCACTGTCGATGATGATGTTGCATATTTTCCCATTGGCCGTACATCTAGTTCAGAATAAGGAATGTCGCTGGGGAAGCAAATTAGTTTTGGGGGTCAATAGGATTCGTTCTAGCACACATGTTACCTGTTCTCCTTCGTCTAGTTCGACGTAGGTAATGTCATCATTGGACTCGTGGAGAAAATATTGCTCGTTGTCTTGGGCATCTTCTGCTAAATTTAATGTCTTCCTCTTAGGACATTCATTGGAAAGATGGCCTACCTGTCCGCACCGAAAGCATTTACCCAGAGTAGGTCTATTATATGTATTGGTTGTCTTCTTGACTGGTTGTTCAGCTAGCAGAGCTTCAGTACCACCTTTATTCTTGTGACCCGAAGAAGTATCCTGTGTAGAAGATATATCAGGGGAAAGAAATCCTTTCTTGGTCGGAACATCACCTGGATTTCGTCGCTGCTATTGGTATTTGAATTTGGTGGCTTGTTGGTTCTCGACGGTCACCGTTGTGGCAATCGCTTCACTCAAATACCCAATGGGTTGAAGTTGAAGCTTTTTTTGATGTTGTTAGAGTATAGATATTATTATATTTTATATTCTTGTATTAATATTAATTTGTCCTTTACCTTCTCCTTATAGGATTAGGTAAACCTTGTATATTTGTCTATATATATAGACTTTAATAATGAGAATATATCACATTGGATTCTCTCCAACCTTAGTCTCTACAGATGTCAACCCGCAAGCCATTGATGAAGCGGGCCACCTGGTATTGGTCACTTTCGCCCAGATGAGTTCGTGCGCCCAGGCGGTGAAACTCCTCTGTGTAATCGACAATTGATCGCATCCCCTGTTTGCAGCCTTGATACTGATTATAAAGGATCTGCTTATAGTTGATAGGCAAGAATCTGGCTCGCATCAATTTCTTCATTTTCTCCCAAGTACGGATAGGAGTCTTCCCAAATCTTTGTCGATTGCTTTCAAGTTGCTCCCACCACACGGATGCACCACTTTTAAGCTTGAATGCAACTAGGCGAATCTTCTTAGTATCCAGTGTGTTCATATAACTGAAGAAATTCTCCACGTTTGTCACCCATTCGAGAAAACCTTCGATATCCATCTTCCCTCAAAGGTAGGAATGTCGATTTTCATCTTGTAGTCATTCTGTTCCTAATGTCTATGCGGTCCCCTATTGTTGTCCCACATCTGTAAATCATCTTCATCACTGGAAGAGTCATCCTCCAGGAGATTCCCACATCCTATTGTTGTCCCAATCGATTCCCTATTGTTGTCGGTAATGGCGGGAAAGAAAAGCGCTCCTGTGGGAGATTCTTCGCTCGCCGAGAAAGAGATGGAGGAAGCTGCCGTCCTCTCTCCACGATCCACAACAACCCGAATGTTGATGGTTGAGGGGGTTGTTGAAAACCTCCAACGGAATGTGATAGAGATTCGTCAAATCTTAAATGTGATTGTGGACAAATTAGAATCCCCACAAGAACAAACAAGTGGGAATCGAAGAAGGGAACAGGGGGTCAGAATTGGACCAGAAGCTCAGCAACCAGCTCCAAGAAGTTTATTACATAATATCCTCAAAGATACATAAGATTCTAGTATTTATAGATAGCTATGACACGACTAACTGACTTCTAACAACCTTAGAAGCTAAACTAACTTTCATTAAAGGTTAGTTACATCAGTTTGTTGGCAATCTATCCCCTTAGTTCTCACTCACTCTAAGTCTTAGTTTTGGACAAAACAATCCGGAAAATGGTCAGTCGGTTTATACAAACCTTAAAAAATTAATTTTTTCATTAGAAAGAAAAGATCAAAGTGGCGGGTAGTCTCTCTTTTAATTTTTTGGTCAGTGTCGTTGATAAGTTGGTGAATTTTTAAGTTTTTAGTATATTGGTGTACATTGAGTGGTTCTGGTCGACATTGGTTCAAATGTTGAGTGGCAAAATGGAAAAACTTTTCACAGAAAAAGATAACTTGGAGAAATAATAAAATGATAAAAATAGTAAATCGGATTGGTAATAAGTCAAGACATTGAAAGCCGCTTTATTTGTGGTTATAGGTTGTGTGCTTTTGCACATTTTGTGCTGAGGCTCATTGGATTGCACTCCCCTTGTGTAAGTGCACTAGAGAGGGCTTTCTTATTATATCATCTAACCTGCAAGAGGTGCCTATCATATCTAAACGCTTCCAGACCTTACAAAACGTATTTATGGGACACAACCCTTTAAGTACGATTTTGAGTATCAATTTCTCATTTACCAACACCATTTTGATTAAGTGAAATATTTTATTTCAATTACTGAATTACGTCAAAAACTCATGCACCAAAATTTGATGACATGAAGTATGGCCTACCAATATTATTTGAGCCACAAAATGGCTACTTATAACTTGCCGTTCCAACATCCTTTTTTCTTTAATAATAATTTTGTTAGGATTTTAATCTCTCTCTATCATATTTTATTTTTTAGTTTCTCTTGAATTATCTGAAAAATCTCTTAGTTGCATGATCATGTCAATTCAATCTTATGCTTATATATATGCGTGTTAAATGATGATTTAGAGCTTCTTAAGCAATTGTTGAAGTTTTATTAAGTTATTCAAATGCTTTGTATGCATTTTCGTGGTTTTATATATTTTTTATTCAGTTACATTTTTTATCCCAGAATTTTGAGTATTGTCTATTAACTTATGTATGAACTTAAAAATTTTTTTATTATGCTTTTAGATATCAAATGATTCTTATCTTTAATTCTAGTCCAGTTGACAACTGCTTGGGATCTCTCGGTGAAACTGACTTAGAGATCTTAAGTTCGAACCTTTGGGTGATCTTAATATAAAAAAATCTTGATGTCTCTTGGGTCTGGACCTTGGGGTGGGCACAGGTGCCCCTAGGTATAGGAGAGCAAAGCTCCGACTCCCACTAATTAACAACCCCCACTAATTGACAATTTTTTTAAAAATTTATTATTATTATTATTATTATTATTATTATTATTATTTAATTTGGATGAGATGATGCAATCTGATAGTTAGTTGAATGGTTTTGCGAAGTTGAGCAAGTACTTTTGAATATGACCTTTATGTGTTACCATTCAAACCAATACCTTTACAGATTGTTCAATATGCCTGATGTGGAGAAACATGCTTATTTATTAATTTCCTTCCACCCTCTTTGTTTTTTTTTCCCTATAATGTTAGGAGTGGGTTGTTCATTGACTTGGCCAAAAAGAATGAAAATTGCTCTAGATGCTGCAAAGGGACTTGCATTTCTTCATGGTGCAGAAACACCCATCATATATCGTGATTTCAAGTCATCAAATATCTTGCTTGATGATGTTAGTTTCTTTCTTCTACCATTTTGTTTTATTAGTTATAGTTACGTTGTTGTTCTTTAGGGGCAAGTAGTCAAGTTTTTCTATTATAAAATTATTCTTGCAAAAGTTTGGCCTCCAATTCAACTTTCAAAGTGAGTTAGTACTCTTCAGGCAATGAATTTGTGTTTGTTGAGTTATTTTAAGTTCTGCTGCTGAATTTCAAGTTTCCTTTATCAGAATTACAATGCAAAGCTTTCAGATTTTGGCCTTGCAAAAGAAGGACCTATGGGAGATCAAACTCATGTGTCAACAAGAGTGATGGGTACATATGGATATGCTGCTCCGGAATATGTAATGACTGGTGAGTTCGTCAATACCAATCTATACAGAACAATTGCAATGGCTACTGTCTTTCCAATTTTGTTCTTTTGGTAAATAGAATGAGAATGTTTGCATGTATTTGATGAAGTGGAGTATACTAGTCTAGTCAAAATTTGGAAAGGGTGATGATAGATTGAAATGAGTACATAAGGGCTTTCCTGTTTCTTGTTTATGTTTCTTCATTTTTAATAAAGAAAACTGAATTGCATAAACCCAACATCCATGAATTGAAGTATGATCAAACAATCTTTTTATTTATGTTTTGGAATAAATAGGAAATGAAAACAAAAAAGAAGAAACTTGTTTTGGTTGGTTCTAAAATTTCTATACAATTTTGAGAATTTTCCCAAAAATTAAGAAACAAGAGACATAGTTAGTTGCAAAATGCTTAGATTTCTTAAAAAAATTGGAAACGAGAAACAAGAAATAGGAACGTTACCAAACGAGTCCTAAGTTGATCACTGTTTTTTTTTTAATTATCAAATTCATTTTATTGAAAATATCATAAGTGATTTGCTAGATTGTATTCCCTTTTTGCCTTCTAGTTCTTGAATGCAAAGGATGAACTTAAGTAGGTTGCTACCCTTTCCAAGAATTTAGTCCATGTATTGACATTACCAGGACATTTAACTGCCCGAAGTGATGTTTATGGATTTGGGGTGGTTCTACTTGAGATGCTTATTGGCAGGAGAGTAATGGACAAGACCAGACCGAGCCGAGAGCACAACCTGGTCGAGTGGGCTCGTCCGCTCCTGAACCACAATAAGAAACTTTTGAAGATATTGGATCCTAGAATGGAGGGACAATATTCAACTAGAATTGTGTTGAAGGTTGCTAATTTGACTAGTCAATGTCTGAGCCAAAATCCAAAAGGCAGACCCCTTATGAGCCAAGTGGTACAAATGCTAGAGGGCTATCTGAGTACCATAGATACTGATCCCGGGACCGTGCGTCGCAGTTAAGTCGGTGGCCTAATTCTCTATCAGCACGCACCTGAAATTACACAACAGAAACTGAACAAGAAACAATGAAAGAAAAACTGAAGGGCATGGAAACAGGCAGGGACACACAAGAAGTGAAAGTGAACACCCGAGGGACCTCGATCTCGGTCGCCCCCGCCTTCGGACCATATCCCAGATTTGGTGTCCCATGAGAAAACAACATGTTTTAAAAGTTTAACTAGCTTTATGTGTTGATAGGATGGATGCCTAAAATGTGCAACCTTTTTTTTTCTTTTTTTCTTTTTACCAAAACTGCTCTATCCATTAAATTTCTAAGAGCATGTATACTTACAGTGACATTTTGATGCATTGAGAGTATATATGTAAATATAAAAAACATATATATATATTTATATATGGGTATAATATATTCATTATCTACTGTTTTTATTATTTTTCCGTTTTATTTTATCTGTAAATCTTGTGGAAGCAGTTGTTTTGTACTTGGATGAACTTTCCAATTTTGGAATAGTTGTTTTGTGCTTGGATGCATTCAGCATTTTTGGGAACTGGTAGTTGCAGAAGGTTAAGCATCAAGCATATAAGTTGTTATAACAAGTGGATGGATTGGCTTGAATAATTCGTAACGTGTTGATGTGAATATGTATTTATGCCACATATTTTGGGTGGGGTGGAAAGTGACATAGAATAACGTTTATAATTAAGATGAAAAAGTGACAACAAATGACGTGATTGGTCAAATAATTATTTTTTAAAGAAAATTACAAAAATCACCCAGAACTATTATAATTATATCTTTTAATTTTCATTTTGGTAAATTAATCCATAAAATTACTAAATTGTTGCAATTAAACCTTGGTTTAGTTCTATTAATAACATATTGCAAAATGTATAAGCCATCCCTAAACTATAAGGATTTTTTTTTAATGAATAAACTATAAGGATTGTTATAAGAGGTAATCTCAATATAGTTTTGTGGATAAAATAAATTTTTTAAACTATATTTATTTTGATTTTTTTTTAATATTGTAGTTTTTATTTGTTAAAATTTAACCTTGTGTATTGGATATGATTTTGCCACGCTCAGAGAAATTGTATCTTGAAAATGTGATTTTGCCACGTGGCACTATTTTGTTAGCCATGTGGCAAAACTTACTGATTTCAACGATTTTTTTAATTATGAATTGTTATTTTATAAATTTAAATATTAATTTTTGTGATAATTATATAATTTTTATAAAATCATAAAACAAATACATTAGTGGAGATTTAAACTTATGTTCTCTCGGAAAAAAGAAAATATATTTCAACCACGAAACTACACAGTGCATAATTAACCCTTGAACTTTTTTTTTTAATGATTCATGAATTTTTTTAATTTGATCAACCATCTTCACAAACTAACAAAAATGTCATGCCAAAATCAATTTTCTAAAATTCAGTAGAAATAGTGTTAGTTATTTGAGTATGAAAAAAAAAAGTACATCAAGTTTTATAAATTTTTAGGGGTGATTGACCAAATTAAAAATCTGAAAGTAACAATTCCACAGTTAGGGGTTAATTATGTTCTTTAGATATATAATAGAAATATAATTATTACTACAAACATAGGTGTAGCTCCTTAACTGGCTTGGAGATCTAGTTCAATGTGAACTCTGGTTGGTTTTGTTATGTTATTTTAATTTTAAAAAATTATATAGATATAGCTCAATGGTTGAATAATACTTATTCAGAATTTATAGATTAAAATCTCTGCTTTTGCATTTATTATTAAAAACTAATATTTAAATTTAAGGTAAAAAATAATTTTGGTTCTATAACTCTATATAGTCTATAAATTTAGTTGAGCACTAGTTGATCCAATGAGATATTAACGCGACGGTTAACGGATGGTCAACATGCTAATTAAACTCTGATGATGTGGCAATCATCTAATTTTAAGTGAAAAAAATATTACTCTTTGTATTATTTGATTGGATTGTGACATGTTATTTATGTTCTTCCACTCTCCCTCCTTCCCACATCTTCTTTGACATGTTATGGTGGAACCATAATCATAGGAAAAAGTATTACAATGATACCCTGTAATGTTAGACAAAATTGGATAATGTTGTACAATTTACACCTAACACTCTTTCTGACTAATTCATCGAGTTGAAGTAAATATTAACCCAAAACAAACTATTACATCTCTCTCTCTCTGGTTTAATCCAAATCACAGTTTCAGCATCAGCAGCCACTATGGACTCCCAAGAAAATGAAAAGAAAAGAAAAACTAATCTACAACAGCAATAAATATGCTTTCATGACTATATGATGAGCCCCAACTACCTAAAACTGTGAATTGCTAAGAAAAGTAACCATGCATCTAGAGGATTGGAATAATTTATCCAAACCTTGCCATACTGAGGCCTGAATATCTAGGAGTTTCCTTGCCTTCTCCTGCAACGTCGACTGGCAACGAATTGTTTCGCCGTGAATCTAGTGCAAAAAGGAATATGTAGCTATTCAGCAAAAGGATTTTTGTATTAACAAAAAGCAAATCGGTTCCTTAACTAGAGAAGTTCAAAGTCATAACATGAAAGGTCCTTAACAGAGTCTGTACCTTCAGGAACAATCTGATTAGGGCTTGTATGAACTCAAAATTGTTGCGGCAAGTAATTTCGTGTATGAAGTAATCGAGAAGCAGTTCGATTGAAATAAGTTCAGGTCTCTTTTCAGGTTCTTGATGATCGGCATCATCTATAATTTGAAGCATGCGAAGCTCCAAATCCAATGTTGATGGAGATAAACCTTTTATATAATCAGTAAAGGCAGAGACTGAAAGAAACAAGAAAAATATTATTTCAGAAATACTTCATGTTTATAGCTAATGCTTAAACAATCAAATGCATTATAGAAATTGAAAAATGAAAAAGAATGTGTCTAACTTACAGTTCTGTATTTCAGAAGAAGACTCGAGAAGCTGCGAAAATTGGGATGATGAAAGATCGGATTTTTTCTGTTCGTGATCGACCCCCTTTTCTGTCTCTGTGTTTGCTGACTCAGAAGGCTTAAATAGTATTTCTCCAGAGAGAGAAGGGAGAGAGGGAAGGAAGAAGGGAGCCTTTTCAGGTTTCTTTGGAGGTTCAATTGGTTTATTACGGACCTGGAAGTTGAAGATAAAGCAACATTAGTTCACATGTGATATTGCTTTCTTTCTTCTTCTCTTTCTTTGTATGTGTGTGTGTTTTGGTGGGGGTGGGGATCGAGCAACAATTAAAAAAAAACCTTAATTATGTCCAAATTGATCAAGCTCTGCCACTGGCTTCTGGGCAACAGTGAGAGGGTGATTAAATCTGGGATTTGCTGGCTGGAGATGTGAAAACCTGATGGAACTTTAGATTCAGGTAGATTTGAAGGATCCTCTTCGCGATCTTCAAACTCAATACCTTCTGTCGAGGATACTGATGGCAATTTAACATTAACAACATCCTTCCCACTCGCGAAGGTATCCACATTTGATGAGCCAGAAAACATTAATTGATTCACCCTAAAATGATAACAAAAAAGAGAAAAGTCATTAATTTGAGTGGTCTAGCAAGAAGAAAGGAAAGGAACCCCATGGAAATACAGTCTGGCCCTTTATCTACCACTATTGAACTCTAGTTTCTAACCATGAAATCGACCTCAATACAACATTGAAAGGTTTTCAATCCTGAGGCATGTCTCATTGTATCTGTGTAACTAAATATACTATCAAATGTGTGACTACTAAATTTATCATGCATCATCAAAAGAAAATGATATTTCAGAGGTTATCCATCCTCACTGAGTTAAGCCCATCCCCTCTAAGTTTAATTTTTTTTATTGGCCCCTAACGACCACTAGACCAACTCATGGTGCTATTGGAGTTTGCTATCATATCACTTTAACTTTTCCTGTTTCACAGAATTTTCGTATTTATCATCTTTCACTGTTTAATGTTTAGGCTTCATCTGAAAATTGTATCATTAACTGAAAAGGTTTCCTATAACTCTTTTTAGGAAGATAACGTGGAAGGAAAAATGTCACATTTGGCTAAATTTTTTTTAAAGAAGTTACAAAATCTAATCTTTTAGGGGGTTCTGAAAATAAAAAATCATTATTCTTCAAACAAAAGCTCTCTTGTAAATACTCTTTTTTTCTTGTTTTTTTCTTCTTTTATAGAAAATAATTAAGAAATTTCAAAAGGATAACATATGAACTTCATACTAACCAAACAGACTGAGATTGAAAAGTCAACCTCAAAATGTAAATAAGACTTTTCCATACTAGACAATGATCATCCAAAAATGATTTTCCCCATTTATGTTGTTCCTCGTTTACCTGCCTACTGAACAGGTATATTATGTCACCAAGATAACTTACCAAAGGTAGACTCCATTTTGATCTACATGTGTGGTAGCCAAAATATCCATATTTGGAGAAATAGAAAACGCCGTGATTGAAGCATCGACTTGTAGTGCATCTATTTGCCTTGCTAAAATAACATCCCAAATTCTAAGAGTTCCATCCATACTAGATGATAAAAGCCATTTTCCATCCTCACTGAAAGACAAATCTGTTATCCGATCTGTATGACCTTCAAATTTACGAACCACTCTTAAAGCCACAACATCAAACAGACGGATAACCAAATCATCAGCTACAATTGCCAAAAGTCCTGGAATACGATAAAAAAAAACATAATTTATCCACAAGGAAATCGTGCCATCAAGGTCCACCTGGCTGAAAGAACAAGAGAATGGATCATAAAAAGATGAGAGTTACCATTTACTCGATGATAGACAATCTTCACAACAGAACTACCAATTTCCAATCTAGATTTCAGATCACGCTCCTTGAAATTCCAAACCTGTAACACAAGACATTTAACAAATGGGATTTTCACACTTTTATAAATCCAAACTTTCCTCCGAAATTAACCGAGTCAATATTGGTTGTTTGCTAAGAGAGAGAATACAATACAAACCTTTATATCTCCACGAACTCCTGCACTTATAAGGTGGGTATTTGTAGAATCACAAGCAAGACCAACAACTTCTCCAACATGTGCAGACGTTTTTCCTTCTAATGTGTCCAGGTAAGTACCTCTACTAGCACCAGATTGAAGATTGAATCGCTCAATCCAACCACCTTCTGTTCCCAAGAAGGCAAAATTTCCACATGCACTAATCGCACAAGCCTGTTATCCAAATGAAATTATCATACAGGCTTTTAGTAAAGAGAAATAAATATTACCTTAACAGCAAAGCAACCAGAAAGAAGGAAAACAATAAACTTCGAATTTAAAATATACTTTCGATGCCCCCAAGAGGCAACCCAAGAGCTTGGAGTCTCTTAAGTCATATTGGCTTAGAGGTCTCAAACCTTCCAGTGGGCTAATACCCTCCCGGGTCCGAGCCTTTAGACGGGCACGCGGGTGCCCTAGGTATAGAGGAGCAAAACTCCGACTCCCAATTATAAAAAATAATATACTTTCGATTATGTAATAATCGTATACTAAAAGGATATCAACTTATACGTGTTACAACTGACATAATCTAAAAACAAAAAGAATATGCTAGTGAATCGCCCAGACATTAGATAAGGACAATTTATCCCCAGTTTTCATCACAAATTAGCATCTTTTTAATATAAAAAAATAGTTAGGTTGACAAAATTATTAGATACCACTCTCAATCATTACAAAAAAATGAGAAATTACAAAGAAATCAATATAATCTAACTATATATCATATGATAGATATGCTAAAGAATGAGGTGAAATTGATATTATCTTGAAACAAACCTTAACCGGAGTTGGGTTTTCTGAGCATGGTTTCAAGATATGTTCACCAAGAACAAAGTTTTGGAGTCTCCATACATATGCTTGCGGAGTATCCACATGACATGTAACCACATTGCACCAGTCCCGTTCTCTAATTTCAGCTAAAAAAGCATATTCATGAAAAAACACGTTACTAAATTGAATACCATTCAACAGAAACCAGGTAACAAAGCAATCACACAACTATAAGTGATAATAAAGTTGATGATATGATGCAACATAAAATAGGGTAGACATTTTAGTAAATTGTTGGTCAAAAAACATTAGATCATTTCGCTACGGAATTTTATTGGTCAAAGAATATTAGTTCATGAAAATATTTGGTTGAACGGAAATTGGAGCACTTTGTTCAAATACTTCTGTAACTTGATCAATGCTAATTAGAGTGGTTTTTTAAGCTCCATCGGCCTAAAATCTGGGCAGATTTATTATCCTCTTTTGTACTCCGTAGTTTACGAATTGTTTCTCATCCATATAATAGACTGGCCCTTCATCTTTTGGTATCTCTTGGATCTTTGACATACACTCCAATGACAACATTTCCAACTGTTATGCGGGTTGAAGAATTGGAAAGCCAATTCCTTAGGATCAATTCCACAAAGGCTCTTGTTGAGAACTTTAGTTTGAAAGAAACCAAAAAAAATATTGAATATAAATTTCACCCTTGGCGCAAAAGCGTGGACTCTGCCAAGCACTTTGCCAAGAAAGAGCTTCTCTCTTTTTGTTCTCTTTTCTCTTGGTGTACTCTTTCTAACAATTAAACAGTTAAAAAAATTCAACATACTTGGACTTTGCCTGAGTACACCAAGTATGTACACCAATAAATTGGCAAAGTGCTTTGCAGAGTACACTCTTTTGCAAACTCCAACCATTAAAGAGTTTCTTGGTGTACTTTCACTTGGAAAAGTGCTTGGAAGAGTACACCTAGAATGTAGACCAATAAATTCCAACCTCGGCGCAAAATTGCTTGTACTCTGGGCATATCACAACAATAGTCTAAATGACCTTTTGTAATCCCGAGTCACTTGGAGTTTTTCATTTTTATGCATGTTTCATCTCATCAATGAAATAGCTGTTCAAAAAACGCACACACAAGAGTTCTAGTCCTATTTTTTTCTCATTATGGCCACAAAATGCCAATAAAGAGTTTCTCTCTTTTTGTTCTCCTAAGCAAGTATGAGTGTGTTTGGGATCATCATCCAGTCCTCCTTACTTGTATGTAAATTTCATCAATTTAGACGTTTCTTGGAAAAAAAAAACTAAATTTAATTAGAAGGTTAGTTATAACAAAACTCTACCAAACAACAAGCCATCAATACAGCTTCAGGTGGCAGGAGGAGAGAAGCATCGGATAGACATTCAGGAAAGTAATAAAAAAATTTGTAAAATGCAAAGTCTTATAGAAAAATAAAAATCAAATGAGTCAGCTTATATCATTATTTATAGAAGAAAAAACAAAGGCTGGAAAAAGAGTAAATAAACAGCCAAACTTAGTGGAGTATCCTTATAATCTTATGAAACTTTAGGGAACACAAGTAACTTACCACAATCAAAAGCTATGACGGGCTTCAACTTTATTTCTTCTTCCTGAAATAGCAAAGTTAAAACTAATATAATTTAAATGTTTTATCATTTCGAATCATTAAAGAGAATAAATAAATGAAAAAAATAAATAAAGGTATCTTTCCAAACAATTTTTAAATTAAAAAAATAGTTTTAACAGGTTAGATTTTAAAATATTCTTTTGAAAAATATAACCCAAACTACCGCCTAGTCAGTGGGGCACTTCTGTAGTCTATCTTTTTCTTCCATCTTTCACGTAAACTTCCTTAATGTATATTAATTATTAAACATTTTAATATTGTTAATGTTAAGTATTCTCATTTCATCTTGATAAAATACTTTTAATTGTCATTCCATTCGATACAATACAAACTATAATAATTTTTCGAATCATGTCAATTCTAACCAAGAGCATGATCATTAAGGTAGTTGAAAATAGCATAAACAACTAAAAGGCAATTTTTTAAAAGCATAATTTACAAGTGGTTCAATCCGATTATTTATTTACGAAAATAAATTAGGGACATTCCAAGACCACCAAGGGACAAATAAAGAAGGAAACACCGACATGCAGATGGATTCAATTGATGCCATTTGCTTAGCCTCCCAAAATAATTGCCTCCATATTAAAACCACATATTTGAGTCATACCTTCAGTTTTAGTTTCTTTGCACGTTTCGCCACATGACGTTGAGAAAGCTCTCTACTTTGCTGATCCTAATCCAAATATATAGCAAGAGTAAACAATTATATGATGATCATTTGTTGTATAACAATTATATAAACAACAATCCATTTAAAATGAAAAGGAAGTACTAAATAGAAACGAAAGAAGATCTTAGGATGAGAAATTGAGAGTTGAAGCCTATGTGCAACTCTTCATGCAGACATGACTCATGAGTAAAAAGAGAGTAGGAGCTGTAAATACATAAATCCCAACATCTCTAAGTAGTTCAAGTTATATTTCTCCAGGCTAGGACCTATTTTGAAACGTAGACTTTCTTTTCTTTTCAAACTATTAGTAAAAAACTGTGGTTAATTACTCATGCACATGAAATCCTTGATCATGATCCCATGACTTTGAAAGGAAATACACTTTCAGCAGTTGTCAAGTACAGGCCATAGGAAAAACAAACTAGGAAAAGTCAAACATTTTTCACTTGTTTATTCTTAGAAGTTAAAAGTAAAAAATTGTTGTTCTAGAGTTATCATTCTAGCTCTTGGTTGGTGTAAATCTTTCTATTCCCCCTTCAATAGCTACACTTTAAACGACCTTATCACAAATTAGAAGGCGTTCTTGTAATTGCCCTTGTGGCCTTTTGTATATTTTCATACCATCAATGAATTATTCGTTTCATATTATTAAAAAAAAAAAAAGTAGAAAATTACTTTCAAAATAGCTCACAAAAATCTTCATAGGTTGGCACTGGACAAACATATGAACTTTTGGCACTTCCGTGGTCCCTAGTAATGAAAGACAGCACCAACCTAATGAAATCAATTCTTTAATTTTCCACTGGCCATTGACATGACCATTTTTTTATGTAGAGATTAAATAATTTTCATCTTAGACTCTTTTCCCTTGATAATGAATCCAGACGTTCACTAAGACAGATAAAGGAAATACAAAAGGTTGCACCGAGAGACTGAAAAGAGGCAATGATTTCAACAATCCAAACAATTGTTCACTGTCATGAATAAAGAGACATCCCTCCTAGAGATGGAACGGGTAGGTGCCAAAATTGAGGTGTCATACAATGTAAAACTCCTCAACCCCTTTAGAAATTCTTTGCAAACGGATATATTTCTAGGAAAGCAATGAAATAAAGGATGAAAAAATAAACAAACATTACCATGTCAACATATAATTTCTTACTAGCATAGTCACAAAAATTCATCACAACAACAATCTTCATCCTCTTTCAATAGTTAAAAACCAACCTGGATTACAGAGAAAAGCCGAAAGGCCCGATCCTGACCAGCAGATAAAATGTGTCTCCCATTTGCATAAAACCTAAAACCGACAGTAAGATTGAGAGTCAAGGAGACATCACAGAAAAGTAATCAAAATTACACGGAAATTGTAGGACTTAACAGGAAGCAAAATTGAGACCTAAGAAACACAGAAACAAAATAAAAACAAGATACAACAAGGAGAAGGCACATGCCAATGTATCAAAAACTAGCCATGTTGGCATGGCAACATATATACTAACTTAACAACCAAAAATATTTTAGTACAAAATAAAATTCAAACCATCTATACCAAGGAAAAAAGAAAAAAACACTTCAAGTAAATGGGTACGCCTACGTGTACGTACAAAAGACATATCATCACCTTATGCAAAGAGGAGGAGCACTATGGCCACTTCGAAAGCGTAACAAACGAGGATCTCCATCTGTTGTATCAAAAATCCACATCTAGCAAAAAAGTAATGAGGAATGATATTCCAAATATGATAAAATACATGCATAAATCTCTATAAATATAAGAGAAGAAGGTACTACATGGCATAAAAAATAGAATGATGAAAATTTGGTCTTTAAATCAGAAATATGAAATTTCATTTGACAAGAAAGAAGTATAAAAGTATTTTCAAGAGAACAAGGTATCCTCCTTGTAGAGATATGCTATATACCATAAGGTCAGTAATAAACACCATGGAACCACGACTAGATTCTGGGGAAGATTCCTAAGGACCTAAGGTCGAGAGGATCCTTTGTTTTTCCTTACCTAGTCCCTATGCATAGAAAAATCGTTGGTCCAATGAGATTCATCAATCGTCGGGATCAGAGGATGCTTTATTTTGGAAAGTTTATTTTTTTTGTTAATAAGAACCTAGAATTCATAGATGATACAAAATTACACAAGAGCAGGAAAACAAAATTACACGAGCAGGAAAGCCAAGCCCCAATCCAAGAAAGATTTTTTAAAAAATCTTTGCAAAGAAATTGCACAATACGGTAAGACAGAATATATGTATAGATAATTCATAATAGTTTCTACAATATAAGGTCCTACATTGCTCTCTTATTTTTTGTGATATGATATAAGGTTCTACAATTACAAGTCACTGTCTGCAATTATGTAAAACTTGTATAAAGAAACCCATACAGGGAAATGATATTCTCTTACTTTGATGGAGTTGTCTACTGAAGAACTCATTAGTACTGGTTCATTGGCAAAAAAGTGAAGTGAAACTATTGAATTATCATGAGCTTCTCTAATGACCGATTGAAGCCTTCTCTTCTCAAGATTCCATATGCTAATAACACCTGATGAACCTCCAGACGCTAGAAGAGGCTGTCCATCTTATAAAACAAATTAATTAAAGTCAAGCAAACCTTCATTCACTAATAACCAATTAGGAAAGGAAAAATATCAAGTTACTGAGTTATATAAAAAAGAAAAAAACTATATGAACTCTGTTAAATATTCAAATTCAATCATGTGGGGTAGATATATAATTAGTTATAATGAAAATAATCCTGTCATGTAAAGAAGCAATGTCTACAACTGACTTGTAGTAAACTCAAATACATTAACTAAAGGCCAATTAATTTAATGGATGAAGATAGCCTCTGATTCAGAAGCAGATGCTTGAAAATTCAATCACAAATTTAAAACTGAAACAGCAGCTATAGAAACTCATTGACAGTAAACAAGATCTTTGACAAATAATAATGATAACCATTGTTCTTTTGATTCAGTTCTGCAATTACCTGAGCTAAAAGATAAGGCAGTAACAGATCCTCGTGTCGAGTGGGTGAATGAAAACAATTCTTGATCATAACGAATGTTATGAACATGAACCTTTCCATCAGCACAGCCAATGGCAACAACATCGAGAGCAGGAGATGAAACACAGCAGCATACAGATGAATTCCATCCCTTGAACTCGTAAAGTTTTTTCTTGGAGCTGATGTTCCAAAGCTCCAAAGAACCTTCTAGGCTTCCAAGAATAACCTGTGCAAACAGTTTTCCTTAAGGTTCCTTAATTTCAGAGTAAGAAATAATACTGCACTATTACACCACATTTATGTAGCCTTCTCACTACAAGGGCCCAGACTGAAAACAACGGCAGACATGATCTGCTATCAAACTTTGATTGCTATACAATATATTGTTCTAGATTCTTCTGTGATGAGTAAGGTGAATCTTGTTACACTAAATTACATGAAAAACATTCATAATTTTATCAAACAAATTCCTAATTATGAATCTGCCAAGAAATGAATTGTTTTGTGAACTATTACCATGGAAATTACATGTGGAATGTAAAGAAGCAATTACTTTGTTTAGATACGTCTCTGGATGCATTATACAGCTAGGACTAAATTGTCCGTCTAAGATGACTTGTCCCACTGGAGAAAGACTATCTTCAATTCCTTTAAAAGCCCAAATGAACATATTTCCATTAATGTCGACACTTAGGATGTGATCTCCAAACAACAGCAACAAGTTGACCTTGGCATTATGGCTACTCCAATTTGCAACCTGAAAAGCAATTTTTCACAGCCTTTCCATCAAATTTGTCTAAAGAAATGGCACTGAGAAAATCAGTGACAAGCATGTGTGCATGTGTAAAATAATATCTCCAGGCACAAACGGAATAGACATTAGATATTCTTGTACACATAACTCATGAGCAGTAAGTAACTAAAAAGGTATTACTGATATTATAAATTGTACATAAGCGTTTACAAGGGAGATGGGTGCTAGGAATTTTCATGGGATAATGTAGACAACGGATAAGTATAATGATGCAAGTATTTCTGTCAGAACATTGCGATGTGCCATCAAAGGCTCTTTTAATTTTAGTTCTGAAAATCCTGAAACTGCACTTCTAAAACAATTTTAAAAAAAATTCAGGAGCCAAAAGCCCCATAGCCATTTTTTTTCAAAGCATAACACTTAAGGAATCAGTGAGAAAACTACAACTATGAGAAATGGTGCTATTCCATCCTAATGGATAGAACCAAAACTTCGGACATGCTAGAATAAGAACTAATTGCATGGATGCACACCAAAATCTTTAAAGATGGCTGTACAATAAAATAAACCCAAACTAATAACTCATCATACATTCTAAACAAACAAGAAAATGATGAATCGAGCATGTGCAGTTAATCATCTTTTTCCAGGAAGATTCACTTCTAAACAAAATACATTCCCAATGAGCAAACCTGGTGGGCACGCTTGAAAACTGCAATATCAGACCCATAAGCAGCAAACGTGTACTCACGATACGAGGCAAGAGCTCGAATCTTCTTTGGCAATTGAGGGCCTTAAAATCAAGCATCATATGAATAAGTAGAACTACAGACCATACAAGAAAAATTCTAAAGACAACCCAGTCGGCTACAAAAATCAATAAAAGACAACAAAACGGGCATACACCCAGATGGAAACTGAAGCTAAACCAAACGTTAAAACAAAAAAGAACTCACATACCAACGAGCACCAAGTTTAACTTCGCGCACTGTAATAAGGAAAAACAGTACAAAACAACGATTAAGCCAATTATAAGATGAAAAGAGAAGCCATAATGGGAAGAAATAACTGCAAAATTTGTAAGAAAAAGAAGAACATCAAGCAATGATCTTACATTGTAAACCTGAAAGGCTTTGCCAACGCTAACGGTGACGAAGGTTTCGGTTCCGAGTCTCTGCACAGAGAAGGGGACGCTGTTTGTAATGTAACCAATTGCTCTGTACGGTTCAAAGATTCCCATTTTCTATCTCGCGAAGCTTCAAAGGCGCAGAGAAAGATTTAGATTTTCTTCAGCTCTCGAAGAAGGAGGAGGGGCGGGGCTCAGGCGTTTTCAGGGTTTTATGGCCGCCGACCACACAGACATTCGGAGGTTTAAGCAAGAAGGCAACATTGTGTACCAAAATGCCCTTGTATCAAAGGTTAAAATTGTAAACTTATAAGTTTGGTCCCACGAATTTTGGAGACCTAGGTCTTTTTTATTTTGTTTTCTAGTCCACTGACACGTGGACATTCGAACTTCTAATTTTTAGTTAGTTATTAATGTATGTCTTTTGTAACTAAGCTTAATCTATATATTCATTTATTTAAAAGGATTCTAATAAATTCTTAAATTCTTATAATTGTACATATTTAATCTGGTTAGAGAGGTTAGTAATATTTTGATTATTTAAGCTCATGTTAGCAACTCGTTAGTTTAAACTCTAATGTTTACGATTATTTAAGGATTATGCATGAATCAACCAACATATGACATTTTAATAATACACAGTTAACATGTCATGTAAATGCTAAATAAATCTGCTAAAGCGAGCATAGCTCAACGGTAATTGGTATTTACCTCGAATCCTCTCCCCAACATGTTGTGCCTAAAAAAAAGGCTAAATAAATCAATAACGTAGAAATTTTATACAATGACATAACGAGACTGGTATAATCTTATCAATGACACTTATATAGTCTTGTTTCAGGTTCCGTGAAACTCGGATTAAGACTATATAAATCCCAACTAGATGGTTTTACAAGTGAGTACATTCCATTCTTAAAGACGTGTAGCATGACATAAATGGAAAAACATACAAAGATAATGTTGCTATCTTTTATAACACTGTTCTTACAATTTTTTAACCCTTTTAAGTACGCTTTAACATGCTAGTAAAATGTGGAGAATGTGGTGAAAAAGTGGATATTTTTTTAGAAGTGATGAATTAACATGGGAAGAAAGGATGAAAAACATGCCTATTGAAATATATACTCTACAATTGGTTAGTAAAAAAGTTGAGAGCTTATTATGGTATATTCAATGAATAGGGACGAGAGTATATTTTGACATGTGGCTTACATGGATAAAAACCTTAACGTCCACGATTGAGTCAATTTTCTAAAGCTCAAAATTTGTTGGGTTACTTTTTACAATTTTCGAAGAAGGTGTAAGTCAATCCGAACATAGATCAATAGATAAAGACTCCTATCACCTATCTTGAAGTTGAAAGTTTAGTCCCTCAACCTACATTATTGTACCAAAAAAAAAGAATAAAAAAGATAGACAAAATGACATAATAACGTAATTTATTTTCAATTAGTGATACAAATTTAACTCATAAGTGAATGTTGTAGAACCTTCCATTCTTCACTTTATATTCAACTTCCAAACATATTTCACCACTCACTATAATGGCGGGGTTTAATTAAAAAGATTTATAATTACATAAAGGTAATTACTCAAATTGAAAAGTCAAAGATACGCTGTAACAATTCCTTTCATAAGCAGCATTTGCAATTTTTCTGAAAAAAGAAAATCAAATGAGACATTTTTTAACTACAAAATTAATTGTTTGATATAAAAAAGTCATTCTATAGATTAGTCTAGTGATCACTATAGATGACCAAAAAACCTGCAAGACCCAATCTCTGTATCAATCCGATCGGACTAGAAAATCTCTAGTTTAATGAGGGACAAGATCAAACCAGGGATCAGGTTCTCCCATTTTAATATTTTACATTTTATATATAATAATATAAATACAGCTCGAAGCCCAATTCCTTCCTATACTAGTAGCCAAAATATCTTTATAAATATTTCTTAAGAAAAAAAAAGGAATATATACACATCGGAGACGGGTTCCCCTCGGGAATCCCCACCCCCAAAATTTCAGGAATGAAACAAAATCCTCAACAAGGCAAGGATGGGATGGCCCCCGACCCTGCCCTATAAGGACTTTGAGAATATGTTTAAATTATAATGACTTGAGAATGTGTTTAAATTATAATAGCCACATATTTAAGACTTCAAGACTATCAATTATGGCAATGTCGAATAGTTCTCCCATGAAAATATTACTTTTTTTTTTATTATTGCCCTGTTCCATTTTCATATCCAAAATATAAGAAAAACATTCTTTCAAATTAGGATAATATGAATGGATCAATACAACCATTCAACATTCTCAACATTTATCTGTTCATATTAACAGGTGATAGAAGTTTTAGCGACAAATCAATATAACTTAACAATGAATCCGAGTATAGCTCAATAGATAAAATATCTATTACTATATCACGTGACTAATAAAATATCTACTACTATATCAAGTGACTTAGTAACGTATCAAGTGAATTTCAACATGGGGTTGCAGGTATTATGATAAACAAAAACTTATTAGCAATGTAATTAGGAACTCATTTTCCCAAGTCTAGTATAACATCCTTCCCGGCTCATTTCTACTCCAAAAATCTCCCAATTAAAAAAGCATCCTGTCCAAGAAAAATGACAAAAAAGACACTAATGGAACTATTCTCAGTCAATATACAGTTAAATTCTTCAAAAAGTCTAAAACTTACAATGAGATTAATGATATAAAACTAAGATAGATTGTCGGCCCATATAAGATATAAAATTGCAGATAAAAATCAGCACCTTTTTGTTCCTCAAGGAATTCTAGTTCCTCTCTAGTGTATACATGAAAAGACAGGAAGCGACCAAACAATCTTCTCTTTGCCGATAACAAACAATGAGATTTGCAACTGATAAGCGAACACAGAATTTGAATATCTTCCTACTATGATTCATCCATTGAGTCGTTACGATTACAGGACTGAGATCTTACATCCTTGTCATCTTGCCCCTGCTCGGAATTTGGCATTTTGGAAACAGAATCCTCGAGGGCCTCGAGAAAAGACAATACTGTAAACTTGTCTGCAAGAAACGGGAGAATCTTTAAACACTGCAATTTTTTAGAGCAGCAAGAAAAGGAACTGACAACCAGGTCGGGTGCAGCAGATGCAAATCTATCACTTTTTCTTTTAATCAGAGTAATGAGGTCGCACTCCTTGTTCACGGCCCTACCTCTTCTAATCCCCAAGGATGCTTCGCCCACCAAGTTTTTAAGAGCATGGTTGATAACTTTTATGTTTTTTGTTTCCAATTTCTGAGAAACATAAGTGATGAGTGTTTGGCAAACGTTTCTAAAATTGTGTACAAATTTTGGAAACAACAAAATCAAACACAGTTCATTATTTAACAACTATGTTTTCATTATTTTTTCAATAAAAAAGAAAGAAATAAGAAAAAAAACCAAACATAGTTCAGTGTTTATTGAAAAGAGGGAACAAGAAATAGAAAATGAGAAAGGAGAAATGGGAAACAAGAAATATGAAACAAAAACATTACCAAATGGGTCCTATTTAGGACTTGAACTTAGGACACCTTCAAAGCTGTCTCCAGATTGGACCAGCTTACGCGTACCTCAACTAATCTCACATGACAACCGTCTTCAAGTATTATAAACTCTTACCATCTGGACACCCCTCGAGATCACCATTACTAAAGCCAACCTCTCAACAAGGAGAATAAAGTCCCCACCCCCGACAACAAAATTAATGTGAAGACAACAATGCCTAGAAGCATGACATTTATTTATTTATTTTGGAAAAAGAACAAGATCATCTGCCACTTTGTCAAAAAATGATAAAACGAAACAGTAAGTGTGTGCATTCAGATATCAAAACTAGCAGCATGCCATTTATTGAAAAAGTAAAAGCTCATCAAAGCACAATCTACTTACATTTGCTCGGGTCTATTCCAAACTGAGACAAATCTATCTGTCCAGTCCGAAGAACCTAGAGAAACATCAATACCAAAATATGGTAAGAGAACAAACAAATTTGAGCACCAAATATTAATAAGTAAGAAACCAAAATCTAGAGTTTAGATTATTACATAAGTAAATGACTCTACTTGTTGACGAAAAGGTGGACTTTGTAACAGTTCCAATATATCCTCAGGAGACCATGGACCCTGCAATCAGAACATAATCAAACGAAAAATAAAGTATCAAAGGGATCGATCAAGTACCAAAGTGGTGCATACCTCAGGTAAATAAGAAGCTAAACTCTGTTCCAACGGCAACGTTTCCAGCAATGGCATTATCAGGTCAGGCTTTAATAAATCTCCCAATCCAAAACCTGCATTATAGAGGAAGTGCCAACATAAAACTGTAAATTTATAGGGAAAGGGAGAAGATAAGAAAAGTAGAACGAACAAAATTATGCCAACTTTCTAAGACAAAGCTAAGATTCTCTGGTTGAAGTTGGATGACCTTGGAACTCATTAGGAGACTCGCTGGAAAGGAGTAGAAGAATTTTCTAAGGTTGTGGGTAGGGATAACCTTCTGTAGTTTTGAGTCTTTTTTTACCATTCTATGATTTCTACTTCTACCAATGGGAGAAATTATCCTTTAATTTGGTAGCTTTATGTCTTGTAAATTATATTGATTAATGAAATAGTTTTCTTATCTAAAAGATAGACAAACATTGGTTGAATATCAATCGCTTTTAAAAAATACTTTTAAAAATACATGATTCGTACAAATGGGAGGAATTCTCCCAGATGAATGATACAATACATTATTACATCTACATGATAGACAACAAGAAATGTGAAAGATTTTTTCATGTCACTTATTACCTGCATCTGGATCAAGATCAATATCTGCAGAGTTCAACACCGGCACAAAAGTATTAGATTTTGGAGTGATCAAAAGGAACAGAATGAGAACTAGAACATGTTCGAGGGGCTTGTACCAGAAGAGTCAATGTTACTTAAAATTCTTTGCAGGTCTTCCAACTTCACTGGCCGTAGTGAGGAGCTTCAATGTCATGACATCAAAATTGATTGGCAAAATTTTTAGCCAACGGAGGAAAAACATAAAAACAAAACAAAACAAAACCATTAAGGGAAAATATTCAGACTAAGAAATAGAAAGTAGGAAAATTTTCATACAACACATCCCAAAATCCAAATCACACGTAGCCTATGCTCACAAGACTTGAAGAAATAGGGTTCAGCTATCTCCAACAAATTTAGAAATATAATTACAAACTCTTCTCAATATTAGTTACTGAAAAACTGAGAGATTATACTGTTTTCAAAATAGTTATTTGTTTCTAAAAACAAAAGTCAGTAACAATTAATAACTGTTTCCTGATTTTTTTCTTCTTTTTTTGAATGCATTATAAGTTATAACATTCTCTTTAATAAGAAAAGTTATTTCTGTCAAAATTATGAGTTTATCAATGGGTGAAAGTGCTGTCAATGGATTAGAAAGTATTTTTAAAAAATTGAAAATTTTCACATTACCTAATCGTAAGTGATTTTTCAAATTTTAAACACTTTGTACTTTCAAACAATGCACTAATGGATGCTTCTCCAGTATTTTACTAAAAAAAAAAATTACACTTTAAAGTTATCTCAAACTCACTCGAAAGTTCTCTTCCCACCAAGTATTCTCACTTGAAATTAGATTTCAGTTGAATCACATAAGAACAGGCGACAATTTCCCATTGCTATAATTTTTTTTTCTTTTTTATTTCTGTGAAAAGTTACCACTATTAAATTTTCTATATGATTTTCTTCATTATTTAAAAATGACTTGAAGGTGTAGCTAGGGCTAGGCTATACCACCCAACCCATTTGAAGATTCAAAAGGGTTATTTTAAAAAAAGTTAGGTCATTGCTATACTTTGATTGGATATTTTTCTCTGTGCTGTACTTGAAAGTGCAGCTAGGGCTACTACAGCCCAAAGAAAACCCATTTGAAGCCTCAAAAGGGCTTCTAAAGAAATTAATAAAGCCAAACAAAGAGGTAGGTCTTTGCTATACCTTGATGGGATATTTTCTTCGACTGTGCCTTCTGAAACTTGTATAGGAGTGGAAGCAACAGGTTCTTCCTCAAGGAACTCTGACCAACATAAACAAAAATAGAGGTAATGGGGTGGACAACTGGTTATAAAGCAGCTCCTCTGTGATCCCGTGCACTCAAAACCAAACAATTAATTCCAGCACACATTCCACTGAACTTCCATTATGGATGTACTTAATTCCAGAGAAACCAATACGTCATATTTTAATGCCGGCATTAATATGTCACACATGCCAATTTTGATATCATTCATTAGCATAAATCCAAAATGATTCACACAACTGACTAACTAGGAATGTGCAACGAAGATGGCAGTTAGTGAAAAACAATTTCCACAATATATTTATGTGGTTTCTTCATCCATTTTGCAGGTCTAGTTAGGTTCATGTATGTTAATGATAATCGTTAGACGATAAAGAAACTTTGGAAAATGTAAATTCAAGTGCCAGAACATTTCAGTAATATAAGCGTTGTATGTATGTATGCAACATGTGACACAGAACTATAAATAATAGCCGACACTTGACCCAGAGCATAAACTGGTTAGGAAGTTATTATTACAAGCTTCAGTCAGCAAATACTCGAACAAATAGGATAACTAGGAAGTACCCAATGGCCGATTTAGGTAGTCGTTGATGGAGCTACACAACTGCTGGTCCTCTTCAGCTTTGGGCTCCTGATTACAGTTATATCTAACAATAGTCAGAATTGTGAAAATAGTAGAATACAAATCAACTTTTTTCAAACAACAAAAAGTAATCACAGATGCTGACCTGCATCCAAAAGAAGAACTTTCTGTCATCTGTTTTAAACTTCAATAAGTAAACTCTTCCCGACGCTTGATTAACCTTAAGTAGACCAA